TTCGGGTCGAAATTTTGAGTTTCGATATCTCAGCTCTGGAAGGGTCTAGAGCCTCCATTGTTGCACTCAGGTCTAAGTCTCATGGCCCTCTATCAGAATCCAGAGTTTTGAGAAGATTGGGGATACTTAATTTTTCGCCCAAAAAAAAAACGTAAGGGGTAACACTGTCGTTTTTTTTTCGGGTCGAAATTTTGATTTTCGATATCTCAGCTCTGGAAGGGTCTAGAGCCTCCATTGTTGCACTCAGGTCTAAGTCTCATGGCCCTCTATCAGAATCCAGAGTTTTGAGAAGATTGGGGATACTTAATTTTTCGCCCAAAAAAAAAAAAACGTAAGGGTAACACTGTCGGTTTTTTTTCGGGTCGAAATTTTGATTTTCGATATCTCAGCTCTGGAAGGGTCTAGAGCCTCCATTTTTGCACTCAGGTCTAAGTCTCATGGCCCTCTATCAGAATCCAGAGTTTTGAGAAGATTGGGGATACAAAATTTTTCGCCCAAAAAAAAAAAACGTAAGGGGTAACACTGTCGTTTTTTTTTCGGGTCGAAATTTTGATTTTCGATATCTCAGCTCTGGAAGGGTCTAGAGCCTCCATTGTTGCACTCAGGTCTAAGTCTCATGGCCCTCTATCAGAATCCAGAGTTTTGAGAAGATTGGGGATACTTAATTTTTCGCCCAAAAAAAAAAACGTAAGGGGTAACACTGTCGTTTTTTTTTCGGGTCGAAATTTTGATTTTCGATATCTCAGCTCTGGAAGGGTCTAGAGCCTCCATTGTTGCACTCAGGTCTAAGTCTCATGGCCCTCTATCAGAATCCAGAGTTTTGAGAAGATTGGGGATACTTAATTTTTCGCCCAAAAAAAAAACGTAAGGGGTAACACTGTCGTTTTTTTTTTCGGGTCGAAATTTTGATTTTCGATATCTCAGCTCTGGAAGGGTCTAGAGCCTCCATTGTTGCACTCAGGTCTAAGTCTCATGGCCCTCTATCAGAATCCAGAGTTTTGAGAAGATTGGGGATACTTAATTTTTCGCCAAAAAAAAAAACGTAAGGGGTAACACTGTCGTTTTTTTTTTTGGGTCGAAATTTTGATTTTCGATATCTCAGCTCTGGAAGGGTCTAGAGCCTCCATTGTTGCACTCAGGTCTAAGTCTCATGGCCCTCTATCAGAATCCAGAGTTTTGAGAAGATTGGAGAAACTTAATTTTTCGCCCAAAAAAAAAAACGTAAGGGGTAACACTGTCGTTTTTTTTTTCGGGTCGAAATTTTGAGTTTCGATATCTCAGCTCTGGAAGGGTCTAGAGCCTCCATTGTTGCACTCAGGTCTAAGTCTCATGGCCCTCTATCAGAATCCAGAGTTTTGAGAAGATTGGGGGATACTTAATTTTTCGCCCCAAAAAAAAAACGTAAGGGGTAACACTGTCGTTTTTTTTTTCGGGTCGAAATTTTGATTTTCGATATCTCAGCTCTGGAAGGGTCTAGAGCCTCCATTGTTGCACTCAGGTCTAAGTCTCATGGCCCTCTATCAGAATCCAGAGTTTTGAGAAGATTGGAGAAACTTAATTTTTCGCCCAAAAAAAAAAACGTAAGGGGTAACACTGTCGTTTTTTTTTTCGGGTCGAAATTTTGAGTTTCGATATCTCAGCTCTGGAAGGGTCTAGAGCCTCCATTTTTGCACTCAGGTCTAAGTCTCATGGCCCTCTATCAGAATCCAGAGTTTTGAGAAGATTGGGGATACTTAATTTTTCGCCCAAAAAAAAAAACGTAAGGGGTAACACTGTCGTTTTTTTTTCGGGTCGAAATTTTGATTTTCGATATCTCAGCTCTGGAAGGGTCTAGAGCCTCCATTGTTGCACTCAGGTCTAAGTCTCATGGCCCTCTATCAGAATCCAGAGTTTTGAGAAGATTAGGGATACTTAATTTTTCGCCCCAAAAAAAAAAACGTAAGGGGTAACACTGTCGTTTTTTTTTCGGGTCGAAATTTTGATTTTCGATATCTCAGCTCTGGAAGGGTCTAGAGCCTCCATTGTTGCACTCAGGTCTAAGTCTCATGGCCCTCTATCAGAATCCAGAGTTTTGAGAAGATTGGGGATACTTAATTTTTCGCCAAAAAAAAAACGTAAGGGGTAACACTGTCTTTTTTTTTCGGGTCGAAATTTTGAGTTTCGATATCTCAGCTCTGGAAGGGTCTAGAGCCTCCATTTTTGCTCTCAGGTCTAAGGCTCACGGCCCTCTATCAGAATCCAGAGTTTTGAGAAGATTGGGGATACAAAATTTTTCGCCCAAAAAAAAAACGTAAGGGGTAACACTGTCGTTTTTTTTTCGGGTCGAAATTTTGATTTTCGATATCTCAGCTCTGGAAGGGTCTAGAGCCTCCATTGTTGCACTCAGGTCTAAGTCTCATGGCCCTCTATCAGAATCCAGAGTTTTGAGAAGATTGGGATACTTAATTTTTCGCCCAAAAAAAAAAAACGTAAGGGGTAACACTGTCGTTTTTTTTTCGGGTCGAAATTTTGATTTTCGATATCTCAGCTCTGGAAGGGTCTAGAGCCTCCATTGTTGCACTCAGGTCTAAGTCTCATGGCCCTCTATCAGAATCCAGAGTTTTGAGAAGATTGGGGATACTTAATTTTTCGCCCAAAAAAAAAACGTAAGGGGTAACACTGTCGTTTTTTTTTTCGGGTCGAAATTTTGATTTTCGATATCTCAGCTCTGGAAGGGTCTAGAGCCTCCATTGTTGCACTCAGGTCTAAGTCTCATGGCCCTCTATCAGAATCCAGAGTTTTGAGAAGATTGGAGAAACTTAATTTTTCGCCCAAAAAAAAAAACGTAAGGGGTAACACTGTCGTTTTTTTTTTCGGGTCGAAATTTTGAGTTTCGATATCTCAGCTCTGGAAGGGTCTAGAGCCTCCATTGTTGCACTCAGGTCTAAGTCTCATGGCCCTCTATCAGAATCCAGAGTTTTGAGAAGATTGGGGATACTTAATTTTTCGCCCCAAAAAAAAACGTAAGGGGTAACACTGTCTTTTTTTTTCGGGTCGAAATTTTGATTATCGATATCTCAGCTCTGGAAGGGTCTAGAGCCTCCATTGTTGCACTCAGGTCTAAGTCTCATGGCCCTCTATCAGAATCCAGAGTTTTGAGAAGATTGGGAGATACTTAATTTTTCGCCAAAAAAAAAAAACGTAAGGGGTAACACTGTCGTTTTTTTTTCGGGTCGAAATTTTGATTTTCGATATCTCAGCTCTGGAAGGGTCTAGAGCCTCCATTGTTGCACTCAGGTCTAAGTCTCATGGCCCTCTATCAGAATCCAGAGTTTTGAGAAGATTGGGGATACTTAATTTTTCGCCCAAAAAAAAAAAACGTAAGGGGTAACACTGTCGTTTTTTTTTTCGGGTCGAAATTTTGATTTTCGATATCTCAGCTCTGGAAGGGTCTAGAGCCTCCATTGTTGCACTCAGGTCTAAGTCTCATGGCCCTCTATCAGAATCCAGAGTTTTGAGAAGATTGGGGATACTTAATTTTTCGCCCAAAAAAAAAAAACGTAAGGGGTAACACTGTCGTTTTTTTTTTTTCGGGTCGAAATTTTGATTTTCGATATCTCAGCTCTGGAAGGGTCTAGAGCCTCCATTGTTGCACTCAGGTCTAAGTCTCATGGCCCTCTATCAGAATCCAGAGTTTTGAGAAGATTGGGGGATACTTAATTTTTCGCCCAAAAAAAAAACGTAAGGGGTAACACTGTCGTTTTTTTTTTTTCGGGTCGAAATTTTGATTTTCGATATCTCAGCTCTGGAAGGGTCTAGAGCCTCCATTGTTGCACTCAGGTCTAAGTCTCATGGCCCTCTATCAGAATCCAGAGTTTTGAGAAGATTGGGGGATACTTTTTTTTTCGGGTCGAAATTTTGATTTTCGATATCTCAGCTCTGGATGGGTCTAGAGCCTCCATTGTTGCACTCAGGTCTAAGTCTCATGGCCCTCTATCAGAATCCAGAGTTTTGAGAAGATTGGAGAAACTTCATTTTTCGCCCGAAAAAAAAAACGAAAGGGGTACCACTGTCGTTTTTTTTTTTCGGGTCGAAATTTTGAGTTTCGATATCTCAGCTCTGGAAGGGTCTAGAGCCTCCATTTTTGCTCTCAGGTCTAAGTCTCATGGCCCTCTATCAGAATCCAGAGTTTTGAGAAGATTAGGGATACTTAATTTTTCGCCCCAAAAAAAAAAAACGTAAGGGGTAACACTGTCTTTTTTTTACGGGTCGAAATTTTGATTTTCGATATCTCAGCTCTGGAAGGGTCTAGAGCCTCCATTTTTGCACTCAGGTCTAAGTCTCATGGCCCTCATGGCTCTTGTGTCAAATTATATTTCTATATTTATTTTTCCAACAAATAAAACTAAACCCGCAATAGATGCAGTGGCTCAGTTGATAAAGCGTTGGGCTTTAATCAAGAAGATCTGAGTTCAATTCCCATACTTGCGTTAAATTTTTGTGATTATATCAAACAAAGTAGCCTAAACAATATTTCTTCAATCCGGTTTTTTACAGTCTGATCTAGACGCATGACTTAAACGCAGGCAGACACAGCAACATTTGTAACTTGTAGGCAGGTACATTGATCATTAAATCAGAGTTTTGTTGTCTTGAATGATTCATTCAGTCATTTTCATTCATTCATTGATTTATGTCACTTGTTTAAGTAATCTAAAAAAAAAAAAAAATTAAAAATAACCCCGATTAGGGGCCCCCCTGGTGGTCAGCGGACCCTAAGCGGCCGCTTAGTTCGCTTATGCCTCGGGCCGGCTCTGGTAGATGGTGACAGAATTTTTACTTTTGGGTGAACAACCCCTTCAAGCATGGGTGTAGAATTTAGTGGGGACGTGTCCGGGGACACTTTATTGCTACCAATAATTTTGATGTAAACTTAAAATATATTTATATATTGTTGTCCCCACCAATTTCAAAATCAAACCTACGCCACTGCCTCCAAGGGTTATTTGCGTATTGTGTGATGGGCTGTTAGGGTTAAGTGGTGCTGGTATGTCTGTAACACTCCTGTTTTATTTAGTGAGGAGAGTTATGTTGTGTTGGACTATGCCACTGTGGAGAAGGTGGAGGTGGAAGAGGCAATCACAGAGTCCAAACTCAATCTGAAGCTGATAATGAATCCCAACAGCGAAGGCCGTTGTGAACAGATGATATTCGTTGCAGAAAGCAAGTAAGTTATCAATAGCACCTGTTTTTATGCGACTTTTGGGTTCAAGTTGAGTATATTGATAATCTAGACTCTAGAAATGTATAGCTCAAGCCTTATAGGGTTAAACATAACATGAAACTAATGTATCACTTAGAGATACATATGCATGATTATTATATTAAAACCATATTAACCTACAGAGAGTACTTTATATGACTTTTCACCAAGATTAAGCTAAATGTTAGAGGACCATAATATTTTGTTTTTGCCCTATTTGCTTGTGTCAGATTGATTCTGATGTGCTCTGAAATGTTTTGTAGGCTGGACAAAGCTCGATGGGTCACAGGTCTCAGTGATGTCAAACAAAGCAACAGCATTGCTAATGATAGTGAGTCTGATCATTGAATGTAATGTGTCATGATTGTTGTGCACATTGAGCTAGTCATGTTACCACCTTATAACTTTGACACTTCATTTTGTTTAAGGATTCCAAGATCTGCCTCAATATGAAGCTAGCAAAGCCTATATGCCAAAAGCACCAGATGAGCTGAGCCTGCAGCAGGCAGAAGTGGTCATCGTTTTACAGGAAGTGGACGGTGAGCATGGTGGCTTTCTGTCATTTCAATCATACACCAGGCAGAGCATTTAACCCTTCTCCTCATCATTTTTTTTGCCTGCGTCTGAAACCGCATACTCTCAAGTAGGCACTGATTTTGAACAAAAAAGTACATTCTAGCAGTGGTTCTCAAACCTTTCTTTGTCTCCCTAATCAAGCATACCTGATCATCAGCTCATTATCACATGGGTTAGTGAGCTGATGATTTGAATCAGGTGTGTTTGATTAGGGAGACGTGGAAAACCTGCAGTATTGGTGGTCCTCCAGGACAGGTTTGGGAACCACTGTTCCGTACTGAATTTGCCATGTGACCTACCAGCATCAGTTACATCACTTCACTGCCATTCACAAATCCTCTCCTGTTGCCTCATGGGATAGTAAAGGATCCATCGACTGCACACTTCAGAATCTCACTGGAAATAGGTTTTCCTTGTACCTTTTGTCTACTCTTTTATGAGTTCTGTGAATTTTGACATTCTTTTGTCGCGAAATCGGATGCAGCCGTTGTATCAGAATAACAAGTATGAGTTGTTATTCAACTGTTCACATCCTCTGACTCAAGAGTTAAATGCTTTCTTATCTGTGAGTTGCGTGTACATATAGTACAATTAAGGGAATGAGTGTGATTGGCTGTGTTGTAGGTTGGTGTCATGGAGTGCGGATGAGAGATGGCGAGAGGGGTTGGTTTCCTGCCAGCTGTGCCACTCAGATCACGAACCGCACTGCGATGGAGAACAACATACAGCGCATGGCTCGACTACGCAAGGAGACCGACGTCTGAGCGGAGTCTCTTAACTACACCATGGAACAAACTGTGCTTTCGGACACCTGAAACATTAGGATCTCTGTAAACCGAGTGTAATGTGAATAAGAACACTGTCAGCATGAACTGCTTAGTTAAACACCACACACACACACACACACACACTAGAAGAACTGTTTCTGGTTTTATTTCAGCTTGCCTTTGTTAAAATTCATGTTTGGATACATAAAAAGTTATTTAAAAATGTCAAACTGACCAGATATCAAATTACTTTTAAAAACCATTTGGTGTAAAAACTTAAGACCGATTTAGAAAAACATCTGCCGTTTCCCCAAAACTTTTAGCTGTCACATAAAAAGAATGGAAAAGAAAACAGGTCTGCATAGAGTCTGCAGGCAATCGGTGGTAATCTGGTCGAAATGCATTTTTGCAAGCTTAGACGATCATATCCGTTTCTTATTGCTCAGATCTTGGATGTTTCTTCTTGACAAAACTGCAAAAGGCAAACACACACACAAAAAGAGATTAGCATGCTTGTGCTATTGGTTGATCGATTTTAGAAGTTGCTATAGAGCACAAGAGTGTTTGCCAGGAGTCTGCTAAATCAAATCATCATCTAGCCTTCCATCAAAGAAGAGTGCAAACACCATCCATTATCTGCAGACACCCCCACCCATCCTGTCCCACCCCACATATATAATTGATGCTAATGAAAATGTGAATTTCATGAAAACCTCCTCGTCACTTCAAACACACATGCACAAACTGAAGGCTATTTTGAAGAACAAGTTATTTTACAATAATGACATTTTCCTGACAATCAAGCACTTTCTGTAAAATTATACATTTTGTAAACATCATCAAAACCCAGTAAAACATTACCACGACATGTAATAAAACAAAAATCTGGGTGAAAATGTGCTCAATTGTCATGAAAATAATGGCAATGCAACAAATCTTAATGCTCAAATAAGCTTTATTTTCTTGTTAAATCATTTTTCTGCATTTAGTATTTTTGGGGGGAGTTAAATGTGGTCTGGACATGTTCACATTTCATGTTATTTACCAAAAAAAGAGAAAGCATCCCAAAGAATGAAGAAAAAACAAAAAACAAACCATACTACACAATGGAACCATGATTATTAGTTCACCCTAAGAAAGATCGCTACAAAACTCCACACTTGATAAACAAGTATGTTAATTTACATGCAGTAACTTCTCATCTGAAGCGGTTAGGTTAACCCACCCGGCCGGATGGTCTAGATGTTCAAGCCAGTTAATCTGCTCCGCCCTGTTCGGCTTCGGGAGCGGCTGATTTTTCGGCTGATGCATCGGCTGCCTTGCTGTCCTTGCCGTCCTGAGGCTTGGTTGTCTGGGGCCGTCTGCGGCGGTAGTTGAAGTTGCGACGGTAGCGGCGCTGACGGGGCTCCTGGCTCTGCCCACTCTCGCTCTGGTTCTCCTTATCCTCCTCCCCTTCCCGAGGTTCCCGCACTGGCCGGGGACGTGGGGGACCCCTGCTAAAAAATTATTACATTTTTTGGTTATGCTGGGGAACTTGGTGTACGTGAAGATCTAATGCACATTCAATTACACATGAAGCTTGAAAGACCCAACAAACCTAAAGGTTCAAATAAGAGAAACGGCCACAAAAGAAGCTGCAGTAGCGGATCAATCATGGTCATGTTCTCAGATGTACATCGAACCACATACGAGCCAGTTGCATAAATATAGCTATTATGCTAATAAATAGTATGACCAAATAGCAGTTAAATTCTTTGGCTAATAACTTGCAAACCTGCAAGACTAGTTTTTTAATAGCATGTTCGTTTGATGTGCAAAAAAAACAAAGTTCATTCTCGTGTTACGCAGCGTGTTTGAGCTTCCATAACAGGTTTGTTTTCACTCAAGCAGGTTTGGTTGAGCTTCCGTTTATGTCAATGTTTATCTTCAAAACATTTGGACTAAGCCGCTCTATTCATATGGGTTAGTTTTATGAATTTTATAATATATGAACTTTTTGGAAGTATCAGTTGCGTAGGGACAGAAAGCTCTGTTCGTCTTAAGAACGCAAATGATCTTTTTGATGAGTCTTACAGTTTTGAAATGACATGAATTTCTGGGTGGACCATCCCTTCGAAGAAACAATATACATTGACAGCTAAGACTAATCTTACTAGTTAGTCAATGTATATTGTTTCTTTGAAGGGATGGTGCACCCAAAAATTCTTTCACTAATTACTCACTCGAACAAAAGTCTTACAGTTTTGAAACGACATTAGGATGAGTAATTAACGAAAGAATTTTTGGGTGAACCATCCCTTCAAAGAAACAATATTCATTGACTAACTAGTAAGACTAGTCTTAGCTGTCTTTTATGCAACGGCCCCAGAACATAGTCACGCTTGACTACATATGCTGCCTTCACACGTTAGCAGAAATTTCCTACTTTTCCCTTCTCAAGTTGCGATTACGAGCCAATCTTGTTCAAGTGCTTTGTTGTTGGAAAGAATTGGAATCATTGAGGACAGGTTTATTCTTGCCTGTTTCTTGAGGAAATCTTATTAAAACCAAAATGAACTGGACATTAATTTTAATTCAAATGTAGCGTCCCATTTGTTGACGACCCTAACATTTACAGTACAATCTAGATGGCTTGCTAACAAAGATCAAAAACGTATTTATCAGTTTATAAAAGATACAATATGCTTCAAATGGTTAAGACATATGCACTACTTAAAGATGATAAATAGTGATGTAGCTGGATAAAAGAACACCAGTCACAGCAGTAATTCTCCCCTGCACCGTTTGAAGTTTATGGGCCGCCTAACTCAAACTAACATGCAAAACTGAGCATTGAGAACTTTGTAAGTGAACAGACCGTTTAATAAGAAGATACTTTATGAAGACAGTTCACTTCGCGTTTACAGACAGGAGCCATCTTAAAAATAGTCTCGATAAGTCAAACCACGAACGCCGTTCATACAGTTCAAAAGTTCGTTGAACTTCATAGAGTTCAGATCACTCAGCACGACGTTCGTGGTTCGACTTATCAAGACTATTTTTTAAGATGGCTCCTGTCTGTATACGCGAAGTGAACTGTCTTCATAAAATATCTTTTTATTAAAAGGTCTGTACACTTACAAAGTTCTCAATGCTTCGTTTTGTATGTATGGAGCCTCATTATGTTACTGTGTGAGTGTGGGGCTATTTTGAGCCTTGTTAGTGGTATAAACTAGCGATTTCTTTTTACTTAGTCATTGCCCCCATTACTAGCATTATACGCTAAACAGTTTTTAGAGATAAAACTCTTTACATTCGATTATCATGAAAACAAATCTCAGAGAATGGTTGACTATGTACCGATGTTTTATTAGACCAAAGGTTCATTGTTCGCCGGAGTTCTCCTTTAAAGCTGCAGTCTGGCGTTTTTCCTTTGTCGCCAGCTCTGTTCGAAATCTGCAATTGCAGTCATTCGCGGAATTCTCAACTTTACGCGAGCTGTTCTTCAACACCCGACATAGCACGGATGAACACAATGTTTGAGGAGACTGTCAGTCACCACACCGGTGTTGATACTGGCAATCAGAATCACAGATTATTCTTTTTGAAAGTATGACCAACATAAGAATTTTCACCAGAAAATGTCGTCTGGACGGGTAAGAAACATCAACTTTTGTTCTGGTTCTGACATTGCAGTAAATGGACTCTATGCATAGCTGCACTACTTCCTGAACTTCAGCCAGCTCCTTGTTTCCTGTCTGCCATCATTGGACAATTTGATTAATTCAGGTGTGTCTGACCTCAGTAGTCACAGCAACAATAATCAGACACACCTGAATTAATCAAATTGTCCAATAATGGCTGACAGGAAACAAGGAGCTGGCTGAAGTTCAGGAAGTATTGCAGCTGTGCATAGAGCCCATTGCGCTGATTAAATCTAACAATCGCTTATATCACGAAAACCGTGCAAATTATACTTTGTTCTAAAATTGTTAATGTTAACCACGTCACCGTTGAGTGTCCTACATAATGCGTGCAAGACATAATGTCCTTCCGATATGCATCCTTGTTTTCGCATGGGTCCGGTTGCAGTCTTTTTTTTTTCCTGTCGCCACGGCGATGTCCGAACAAAGTCTTTTGCATTTTACAGCGAGTGAATCAGTCGTCACTGGTGATTGTGGTTTGAACGTTTCTGGGTCCGCCATCAAACTGATAAGTTTAATTAGATCAAGTGCTGTGAGAAAAGGCTATAAATCTCCACCTCCAACATCCTTACACGCAATATAGCCTACTAGCCGAGACTCCTTTAGGTGTACAGATGTGACGTAATGACGCAAAGACATGCTCGAATCTCCTGCAGAAATCCACCAGTACCACTGGAATTAAACACATGATTACAAGCTTACCACTTTGAATCGAGCTAAGGCAAGCAGATAGTGTTGAACACTGGCTGGTTATGCATTTTCTCAAATATGGATTTTGGATTATTTTTCACCCCCCAAAAAGCTACAGACTGCAGCTTAAAGTAGTTAAGCAGTTGCAAATTGATGGCGTTCATGTTCAATTTCACACTAGGAAACTCATGTGAAGGCCACATTCATTTCCAAAAGGGTTTGCAGCTGAATTTCACAAAAAAGGTAAAAATAAATAAATGCAACAACAGAAAACTTACAAGTGTAATTACATAAATGCTGTTCATTTCCAAAACATTTTAATATGCATAATGCCATGCAGACGTGAGTGATGAATAAACCTTTTAAATTAATTCTTTAAAACTGACAGTTTTGATATTAACAGAACTATACCAAACACATTTTTGCTACAGAGGTTTAAAATCGGACTCTTGTTACTCATACTTGTGATTCAAAAAACCTTGCAAAACTAGCCAAATAATCCAGCCCTGCAGAGTTTAGTTTAAACCCAGATCAAACACCAATCTGTAGTTTTCCGGTAGCTCTGAAGACCTTGATCAGCTTGCTCAGGTGTTTTTGATTAGGGTTGGATATAAATTCTGCATGGCAGTGGCCCTCGAGGGAAAGATTTGAGGAACTCTGATTTAGGAGAGTTATAGTCGGAATGAAATAGGGGGTCATCCCTATTGTGACGTATATACAATGAATGAAACTGAATCTTGATTAAAAAAAAAAAAAGAAAAAAGTGGGACTTTTGTCCATGAGGAATTGATTGACTTATATTTCTGACTTTATAACTTCAAAGTCCCAATTCTACCTTTTCCCTCCCTTGCAATAGCAAGTCTTGCAATTCTTTTTTTCTCAGAATTGTGGAACAAACTCACAATTTCT